GGGGGGGGGCAGTCATGGGGGAGCTGGAGGAGCAGGCAGGGGTTGGGGGGACTGGGGGAGCAGGCAGGGGTTGGGGGGCTGGCAGGGGTCCCCCTAAGGTCCCCTCCCCCCCAGTACTTACCAGCTCAGAGTCAGCTGCAGCTCCCTGCTGCAGCCACCGGAGACTGCCCAAATCATCAAAGCTCTCTGAATCAGAGATTTGGAGAGGTTTGAATTGATTCAGACAGCTTTGAATCGATTCAAACCTTTAAATTGGTACCGATTCAATTTGGATTCGAGGATTCGGCCACCGAATCAGGCCAAATCTCCTCCAAATCAGATCACCACCTGAAGCTTCGCACAGCCCAAATGTGCATTGAGAGGTGGCCTCTTCCCACTGCCATAATTTTTACTCCCACTACAGCTATCTCTGTTCCATGTCCTGGTCTGAGAATCACTTTTGAAACACTCAGGATGCTGTAGTTCAGTCTCAGTGATTTGTGTGGAGGGATGTGAAATTAAAAAGGTGATCTTTTTACAACAGCAGTTCTCAGCCTTTTTACTGCAGTTACTCCTCCATAACTTACATGAATTTATTGGCACCTCATTTAAAAAACTAACACATTTATTACAGGTGTTACCTCCTTGCAGAGGGGCAGGCAATGGGTATGGGGGAGTCGCCAGCCAGGGAGAGCCTAAGCCTGCCTTATCTGCTTATCTCCTCAAACCTAGAGCCCAAGCCTGCCCTTATCCACATCTATCCTTCACACTTTATCTCCTCACACTTTCTGCATCACCCTGGCCGAGAATGACCGGTTCACACTGTTAGGATTTAAAGGCTCAGGTAGCCTATGGCTTTGTTCTGTGGGCTTAGAGCAGGGGTGGGCAAAATGTGGCCAACAGGCCAGATGCGGCCTGCCAGGCTGTTTTATCTGGCCCACGGGGCTCCTAAAAAATTTAGAAAACGAATATTCATCTGCCCCTTGCAGTCTGTCATGCAGTCCTCAATGGCTTGCCAAAACTCAATAAGCGGCCCTCTGCCTGAAATAATTACCTGCCTCTGGCTTAGAAAGACTGCTTTGCTAACAGGGGTTTTGAGAGCCTAGTATTAGTGACCATAATTGCTCTTCGGCTTTTATCAAACTGGAGGGGCAGGGGGGTTGTCTGCAGGTAATGGCCTACTTCAGGGTTTTCCAACCTTTTGGATTAGTGTAACCCCAGCAGCCAGATACAAAGCAGGGTGGGAAGTAGTGCATGGCCAGACACGGAGTGGCAGTAGCCACCGCACGCAGGCTTCCCTCACCCCCTGCAATCAGCCAGGTGGGCAGCACCTGCATGGCAGTGTAAGATGTTGTGCTGCAGCATGCCATCCCCACCCACCTGACTGTACCCCTTAAGTTCTTTTCAAGTACCCCCCGGTTGACAACCCCTGGCTTACTTAACCATAATAGATGTTAGTGCATCATGTGAAAGGGAGACTAAACCAGTCAGGATTATACTGTACGGTGTAAAACACTGTTCAGTCCAATTAAGTCTTACTGGCTCCACAAATTCTTCCTGTATAGCTGCTGTTTTTCCATAAAGTAGGTAAGACCTCTTTGGAGCACTAATTTCTTGTATTCAGTATCTAGCTTATGTAGTGAGATGATTTGTTGATTAACTGTGTGAAACTAGCTCAGCTGCCACTATCTTGTAGATATAGAGAGCTATAGATATATGAAGGTGGAGATATGCAGAGTTGGAGATATACAGCA